TCAACCTTAAACAATAAACTTTGTCAGTTTTATTTTTCAGTCTTCATGATGGTCAATACTTGATCTATCTCTTACTGTTACATCCCGCCGGGCTCTACTGCTAGTATATATATATATATATATATATGTGTGTGTGTGTGTGTGTGTGTGTGTGTGTGTGTGTATTTAGGCAGCAATGCTTCTTTCCTGCACATTTCATTGAATGCGACAGACAAGGTGCTTTTATTTAGTTTTTTATACAATTTCTCATGCGATCTAAAAACTTTTTTCTCTTTCCGGTTGATAAATTATATAAAAAGTTTCCGAATGTTCTTTTTATCCGAGCGCTTTCGGCTATACATTTAGCCATTTTCAAGGATTAAATATTTTAACTGTTAAATAAGAAATAGTTTGTTGTATGTATGTTTTATAAAATGTTTTCTTTTTTTCAAAACACGGTGAAGATATTATGTCCATGTTCAAAGTTAATATTATTAATTGTTGTTTTTTTTGTTTTTATTTTGCTTCCATTATTTTTAGCCATTTTTTTTTTACATGTAGATGATGCTATTATATTAGTTTTGTCAGCAAGTATGTTACCAATTCGGAGAGTTTTTATATAATTTATCACCCGAAAAGAAAAAATATTTGATCGCATGTGAAATTGTATAAAAAAATATTCATAATTTATTCATAATGGTAAATACGATCCAATTCATCAGACCTACAGATTCATATTTCTCTCACTTAAACCGTCTTTGACTCCCCTCTCTAAAACTTCTCTCTGTTAAGCTTTAATCTCCCTCCTTCTCTCGTCTGTTACCCCTCTCTATAGCTCTAACATTCGTCCCACACACTCTCATACTTACACTCTCTCTAAATTTTATTTTTTATTTCCGGAGTTGTTTTTTTCTGTTTTCTTTTTGAATTTGAAGATCTGATGAATTGGATCGTATTTACGATTCCAATGGAAATAAATTATGGCCATGGAATATTAGTGTTTAAGCCTTTTTATTATATTCTTATTCTGCCCTGAATATTGAGTTCTACCTGGATTCTATCCTCTTGGAATTTTTTTTATACAAAATATATATGTATGTGCATGCATGTATGTATATATATTTATATATTTTGCATATGTATGTGTATATTTACCACTAATATTATCTATTTATCTATCTATCTCTCTCTCTATATATATATATGTGGGGGGGTGAGTGTGTGTATTTTGAATTGATATAGACTCACCATAAAAAACGCAGTAGAAGGAAGAGTAAAAATGATTTGAATTTACAGAAATACTTTTACACATACAGAGACAATTAAAACCCTTGAAGATGTTTTCAGATGAGAATGAAAGTACCTGGGAAAATAATAATTTGTGTATTTTTCTTAATCAATTTTACACACCTGACAAGAAAATTGGTTTGTGGACATGAAAGGATTAAAGGAATAATAAACAGACCTAGTATATCGAAATTATTTAACCAAACCTGTTTTATATATATATATATATATATATATATATATATATATATATTCGCCTCTCCTGTCGTATTCGACGTATGAGGGTCAAGCATCTCAGTTCCTAGGAACCGACAGCCAGAAACCAGCACATGTGATTTGATTATAGTGGTGAAGGTTTTGTGCAGAACCATCCACACTTTTTGAAGAGCCGAATACAGAGACCTGTATATATATATATATATATATATATATATATATATATATATATATATATATAAATCGGCTCTTGCAATTTAACCAAGTGTTTCTTTATATGATTCCATACTAAATTAGCGTTCGAACAAACTTTGATGCAAAGATTGTTTGAGGAGTATTATTGAATCGTTAAAAGGTAAAAATTTCCGAAGCACCTCTTATTAACCCTAGCTTTACAGTAAATGTGCGAAGAAGGAGCGGGGCGTTCATGTGTTGACACTTGGAGATGAATGAAGCTCTGACGCTTCATCCCTGTTCTTGTTTCATTATTAGATTTGTGAACAATGCCATACTATTTGAAAGTTATTAACGACCATAGGAAATTTACTAAATATCTAAAACATTGAAACAATTTAACCCCGAGCAACGCCCACACAAGAAGTTTTTAACGACAGAATGTCTTTATTGTTAAGAACAATCAAACACTTGTGAAGAACATACCGTAAAAATGATGAGTGGCTTGGTATACCAACAGATGATGTATACAAGCGGAGGCGCAAGCAGACATTTCTAGAAAGTGGGTGTGAGTATTCAGGGGGTACATTTATACTATTACAGCCATGTACACACGGGTAACATCAGATGCCTTTGCTAGTATTGCTATAAATATTTATTGTTGGTAATTTTTATATAAAATTGTATTGCTGGTATTTTTACACTTTCATTGTGTTTTGATTTTGTTTGTGTGTTCATTTTGCCCAAATCTGGGACCCTGACAGGCGCTATCACCCTGGATAAATATGATCCTGGGAGCAACAAAAACTAAGCGATGGTTCTACTGTCCTCAAAAGCTCCCATCTCTCGATCATAGTCCTTACTGCCGGATGTAGTTTATCATCATACCCAGGACTAAAAGGCAGCAAAATTGAAACTCGTTTAGCTTTTGGGTATCACTGTGCAACTAAAACTAATGATTTGAAATATGTGCAGTTAGGCTTGTAAATGAACCCCGTATTGGAGCCATTTTAAAAATGTTCCTGTACAGATTGCTTCAGGTTTTTATCCTTTTTGTTTTTTAAATATCCCACACCGCGATAACAGAAAATTTGCCAAGAAAGGTAAAATGTTGGAAGAACCTGGACGCAAAATTACTCTAGATATTTTAGCAATCAGTGCACGTTCTATACATTTTCATCTGAGTAAATTATTTTCCCTTTTACTTAAAGTATCATGTTTTGGGGATGTCACCGAACACTCGTTGTCACTTTCGTAATGCTCGTTGTAGTAGAGACTTTGTAATCGCAGATATCACTATAGTACGTCGTTGAACAATGCTGGTGTCAGACGCCTTCGAATAAAACTCGCACTAATAGTACTTGCTTGATAATACTCTCTCGTATAGTAATCCGTATAGAGAAATAGTAAAGCGAATAGAGTAGAGAATTGAATTCCGTATAGTAATAGAGGATAGACTAGAATTAACGATCCGAACAATAATAGAGGATAGACTAGAAATAGCGATCGTTAGTCGTCAGCAACTTCTTACATATATGCGTTTCCTCTATGGTCACGTGGTCTACTTAATTCAATAATCACTTCACTACTTAATTCAATAATCGCTTGTGTTTGCTCACTGGCGATCCACGTTTAAACTCAAGTGTCGACAGCGACACTTTATTTTTATATAACAATTTTTTAAATCTAAATTATGGTCAGATGCATTACGGCTATCAACTAATGCATTGAACGTGTTCTTTTGTAAAAGATCCCTTTTGTATTCATTTAAACTTTTCATTTAAGTTTCTCGAGGTTTTTCCTATGTATTCCTTGTGGCAATCATTACAGGTGATGCAGTGAATTCCCCCCCTTCAAGTTTTAGCTTATTATCGTTTTGTTTTATAGTCTCTTACTGTTTTAGAAGTAGTTGTATCAAATATTTTGTTAGGCTTTGATAAATTACTTTAGATTGTTTTTGGGATATTGATTAACTGATTGATTCGTTTTTGCGGTTTATCAACCCTTTACAGATTATTCAATGCCAGAAACATTTTTAGATTTAATAATTGTTTGTATAATAACGATTTAGTTATACAAATTTTACAAATTAACCCACAGCTGGGGCAGAAGAGATGGATTCATAACTTTTTCTAAGCGTATTTGTGCGTAAGGGAATGTAAGGGACCCAACTAGACTTGAAACTCGACTCTCAGATTAACAATTTCACGCTATTATCCAGTACACCACCAGCACATCCAAGCTTACAGAATTTGGTGTTTGTCTTCTATTTCCCGTAAAAGTCCAGACCTTGACAATGATTGAACCAGCCCTACTGTGTGGATCAGAAACTTGGACATTATATGTTTGTCTTGAAAAACAACTGGATGGAACATATACAAATCTACTGAGAAAAATCCAGAACATCAGTTGGAGATCCAATGCAACGCTTAACGCAGTTTACAGAGAATCTCTCTTAAGCTCAAACAAAAACGATTACAGATTGCCGGCTACTGCCACCAAGCGGACAGTGAAATCGTTTCATCCTCACTCCTATGTCATCCTTCTGTGTCTTTTCATAAAAATTGACTTTCCCAGACACCATAGCTCGACTAGCTGAAATCTTTTCAGCTATACGATCGAACTCTCAGCCTTTGGGCAGAAAGAAATCCTGACGAGGCAATGCTGAAGAGCAGAGTCTCGTTCGGGAAGGTGGACCGACCCGATCCCGTTTATGCGGGTTCTACGGGGAATTTTTGACCGAACCTAAGGGGCTCAGATGTCCCACGTTAAACTCGGCCTTGTGCCACATCTACCCTCGTGCTGGGGTGCTAGTAAATACCGGCACCATAGCTCGGGACTTCGGGTTGGATATTAGGGATCTAGAGACAGCAATGCTAGACCGATCAGTGTGGAAAGGGATTGTCAAGGGGGATTCTGACCAACCATAGGGAGGTCGAAGGATAATGATGATGAACAGTCGTCCTTACTCCAATGGCATCCTGGATGTGTCTTCTCACGAAGATTGACTTTCAACACCAAAGGTAGGGACTCAGGTTTCGATATCGGGGATCTGGGGAGAGTAATGCAGGACCGAACAGTGTGGAAAGGGATTGTCAATGGAGTTCCGACCGACCAACCGTACGGAGGTCGAAAAGATGATGATGATGATGATGATGATGATGAAGGGATATGAAAAAAATAGAACGAGAGAAAGAGAAAGAAAGAGATATAAAGCATTAAATGAGAGAGAGAGAGAGAGAGAGAGAGAGAGAGAGAGAGAGAGAGAGAGAGAGATAAGTTTGCCGACCACCGAGCAGACAGGGAAATTGTCGCCTCCTTACTCCTATGGCATACTTCTGGAGATGTCATTTTGCGAAAGTCTGTTCATTATCTATCTATCTATCTATCTCAGTCTGTTCACTATCTATCTATCTATCTATCTATCTATCTATCTATCTATCTATCTATCTCAGTCTGTTCATTATCCATATCTATCCATCCATCTATCTATCTATCTCAGTCTGTTCATTACCTATCTATGTATGTATGTATGTATGTATGTATGTATCAGTTCTTATCTATCTATCTATCTATCCATCTATCTATCTATCTATCTATCTATCTATCTCAGTCTGTTCATTACCTATGTATGTATGTATGTATGTATGTATCCATGCCAGTTCTTTTCTATCTATGTATCTATCTATCTATTCATCCATCCATCCATCTATCTCAGTCTGTTCTATCTATCTATCTATCTCAGTCTGTTCATTATCTATATATCTATATCTATCCAGTCATCCATCTATCTATTATCTCAGTCTGTTCATTACCTATGTATGTATGTATGTATGTATCTATGCCAGTTCTTTTCATCTATCTATCTATCTATCTATCTATCTATCTATCTATCTATCATATCTATCTATCTATCTCAGTCTGTTCACTATCTATCTATCTATCTATCTATCTATCTATCTCAGTCTGTTCATTACCTATGTATATATGTATGTATGTATCTATGCCAGTTCTTTTCTATCTATCTATCTATCTATCTATCTATCTATCTATCTATCTCAGTCTGTTCACTATCTATCTCATCTATCTATCTATCTATCTATCTATCTATCTATCTATCTCAGTCTGTTCATTATCTATCTATCTATCTATCTATCTATCTATCTATCTATCTATCTATCTCAGTCTGTTCATTACCTATGTATGTATGTATGTATGTATCTATGCCAGTTCTTTTCTATCTATCTATCTATCTATCTATCTATCTATCTATCTATCTATCTATCTATCTATCTATCTTCTTTAAAAGTCCAAACCTTTCGAACATTGTTTAAACCAGTCCTATTGTATGGATCAGAGACTGGATGGAACATATGCAAAAGGAAATCGCCTCATCCTGACTTCCAATGGCGTCCTTCTTGAAGTGTCTTCTCATGAAAATTGACTTCCCCGGACATTGGAGATCTGAGAACAGTAATGCAGTACCGAACAGTGTGAAAAGCGATTGTCAATGGAGTTACGACCAACCACAGAGTGATCGAATGGTGATGATGATGATGACGATGATTTGTTTAACCCTAACCTTAGCCCTAACCCTAAACTCTCCAATTCCCATCTCGTATTTTGGGATTTCTTCTTTACCACTTTACTATATAAAAAAAGATAAGTAAAAATCGTGTCTTCTTAATTATAAAAGCAAAGGTCCTCATAAATATAAAATAAGTGTTATTAAAGGAACAAGATTAACCGTGTGAAAATGATTTCCTCAGAGGACACATTATTTTAGAGACAATTAAGCAAAATAAAGCAAATATTTATCAACGATAATTTCCTAAATCATGTTGGTGAACAATTAAGATTGGCGTTACCGAAATTCTAAGAAGAAATAAAATCACCCAATTTGATGTAAACCAAAATAAAGACACCATTAAATTATTTTATCGTAACCAAACGCATCCTTATTATAAACAAGACGAAAAAGCCCTTAAAAATATAACCTTCAGATATATACTTGTTATTAAGCCTATAAAAAACGTATAATTTAATACTTAGAGTTAATTGCTGCCATATATGGTCTGGTGCCCCTTCTGTTTGCCTCGGGGTTCTTGATAGGCTCCAGAGGCGGATATGCAATATAATTGGCTCTGCTCTGGCATCTCGTCTACAGTCACTTTCTCACAGATGCGCCGTCGCCTCTCTCTGTCTGTTCTACAAATACTTTCATGGCAATTGCTCCAAGGAGCTGCATTCGCTGGTTCCCAGACGTCATGAGTTCCAGCGCCATACGGGGCTGGCATCCCGCTCTCACCCCTTCACTGTCGAAACTCCTAAATGTAGCCGTCTCTTCTACTCCAATAGCTTCATGTCTCGCGCCTCTCGCCTGTGGAACTCCCTTCCCTATTCCTGTTTCCCTGTGAGCTATAATCTCCAGCTATTCAAGTGTAATGTCAATCGACATCTCCAGTTGCCTTGATCTATCCACTACCCTCATCCTTTCTTCTATCACTTCTATCTGATCTTGCTCTAAACTTTCTGTAACCCCCTTGCGTCCTAGTGGCTTCCCGCCTTGCTTGGGGGTGAATTGCTTAAAAAAAAAAAAGAAAAAAGTTCAACACCTCAAAAATTCGCTTGACGTAAAAAAATAATGTTTATGAATTGTAACAATGGAGATTGCATCGGCAATAATAATAATAATAATAATAATAATAATAATCAACAAACAAGAAATTCTAGCATTAGCCACACATGCACCTCGCTTGAATTGTCATTTTGAAAAATTTAGTGCAATTGGTGCACATGTAGATCAACATATTACAAATCAGCTAAAATGATATTTAACATGTGACAAATATTTATAGACAACAGCAAATATAATTTTTTTTTACTTTCAAGCCATTCTGAAAAATTGGAGAAGGATTTACTTTTATCTATACACATATTATCGACACGGAAAATACATAGACAGACCAAAAAAACATATAAATTATTTACATTTAATCCATTCCGAAAAATAAGAGAAGGATTGACCTTAAAGGCAGAACGTGTAATCAAATCTAATTTCAATGAAACTGTTTTCCATTTGTCAAGTATCTTTAAAACTTTGTCAGGATTCTATATTCTATCTATACACATATTATCGACACGGAAAATACATAGACAGACCAAAAAAACATATAAATCTTTTACTTTTAAACCATTTTGAAAAATTAGAGAAGAATTTAACATGAATTCATTTCAGAAAAGTCTATAGGAATCTTTTGCTTTCGAGATATTCTGAAGACAAAGAGTTAACTTAAATTCTATATAGAAAAGGTGGTAGAATATATTAATAACTTTACACTTTAGACGTGAACTAAGAATTATTAAAGAAAAGATACAGAATAAATTTTCACAGCTTTTTTAAAAGTCACTCATTTTTATTCTTTTCTTTCATCACGAGAAATGCCAGCCTAGAAGGAAAACTAGGAATGATTCAGTATTTAAGAATACACACAAATATACACACACATATTCTTTTTTCGTTTCTTGATCTGATGAAGCCTAGTAAGGCGAAACGCGTAATCAAATCTAGTTTCATTGAAACGGCTTTCCTTTTGTCAAATTTCTTTTAAACTTTATCGGGATTCTATAGCGTATCTGTAGACATATCGTCGATACGGGAAACAAATGGACAGACCAAAAAACATATAAATCTTTTACTACACTAATATTTTGTTTTCCTGCCATTCTGAAAATAAGATAAGGATTTACCTTAAATTCAATAGAAGTTGGGAGAATACATTAACCACTTCAGACGGGACCTAAGAATTTTAAAGAAAAGATAGAGAATAAATATTAACGGCTTTTATATTTTAAAGTCAACCATTTTTATTCTTTACTTTCATCACGAGAAACGCCATCTTAGCAGAAAGGGTATTAATAATTCAAAATTTAAACGTAGACACAAATATATACACATATTTCTTTCGTTTTTGGATCTGATGAAGCCTAGAATTGCGAAACACGTAATCAAATCTAGTTTCAATGAAACGATTTTCCATATGTGATATGTCAAACTTTTGTTGGAATTCTATATCCTATTTTATATAAATTCTTCAGTGGTTGGAATGTCGAACTGAACCCTTAATTTCGCTTACTGGGGTAGACTATTCTAGTTCCACGTGCCATGTCTAATGGATGTCAATTATCTCCAGTTAATTCCCCTGTGAAAGTTCTCCACTGCCTTAACCAGGTATTGAACTCACACTCTTTGCGTCCTGTCACTGGATCTAACCAACGCCTTTATCCACTGTGCCATGTGTTCTCAAAGAAGAAGGCCGGAGCGTACAACGACCGAAACGTTGTGATAAACATTACAACAAAGATGAGGACAATAATCCGAATAATGTAAATAGTGTACATAATACCTCATCTCAGAAATATAGACAGATACTGAAGGGTGATAAATATGGCAACAAAGATGAGGACAATAGTCCGAATAATGTAAATAATGTACATAATGTCTCATCTCAGAAATATACACAGATACTGAAGGGTGATAAATATGGCAACAAAGATTAGGACAATAGTCCGAGTAATGTAAATAGTGTACATAATACCTCATCTCAGAAATATAGACAGATACTGAAGGGTGATAAATATGGCAACAAAGATGAGGACAATGGTCCGAATAATGTAAATAGATAGATAGATAATAAACAGTTTTAAACATATCTGTCTTATGAATAGTATAAGTGAGATAGATATGAACAGACTGATATAGATAGATAGATAGATAGATAGATAGATAGATAGATAGATAGATAGATTAGATTGAGCTAACTTGCTAGCTACATACATAGATAAACAGTTTCAGATATATCTGTCTGTCTGTTATATGAATCGAATAAACGAGATTGATAGATAGACAAACTGACAGATAGATTTCTAGTTAGATAAATAGATTGAGTAAGTTTGAACAGACTGGGACACATATATATATATATATATATATATATATATATATATATATATATAGAGAGAGAGAGAGAGAGAGAGATCATGTAACAGAGAAAGTCGAATATTCGATAACTGATCGACATGAAAATGCTGAGAGAGCGAGAGTTTGTGAGCGAGGAGACGAGCCGATCGATAATTTATTCGAGAAAGCGACAAATGTGAACAGATGGGGATATATAAATGACCAAATAGATAAGAATAGATTAAGATCGATTGATAGCTAGGGAGTGATTAAAAAGAGAGAGTGAGAGAGAGTAGGGGTCAATGACGATGTCATTTTTAATCCTTAAATAAAACTTCGGTTGAAAACAAAACCTCGGAACGCTCTGATCTACTGAGGGCAAAGCAAATCAACGTCGGGGTAATTACTTCTTGGAACCTAATTTCCCCATCCCCAGACGCTGGTCCGGTCGTCTGCCACTTTGAATTCTCGATTCTTCGATACGCACTCAAGAGTTGGATGACCAATACGGAATCTCGGCCGTCGATCAAAATATAAAATGGTGGATGTCACGTCTTCCCACTTCCGGGTTGGTAAGTAGGGGATGGGAGGTCAATATTTATAATCATAAAACATAAGCTTTGAAATACGCATGCGCGCACTCATGCTCTTTGGATCTCATTCACATCAAATTATAATCTCGTCTATGGCCTAATAAATCGTTAAAATACCATCCCAATGCTCTCATGTAATTTCTCAGTGTAATTAAGGTTACTAAGCAGAATTAGTCAGAAATAAGTACTTTTTAGGCAACTTTTGAACACCATGCGCTACTAAATTTTGAATTTCACTACTTGTGAGTTTGTGGGCTACTTTCGAATGTCGGTCCCTTCTAAATAATAATTTCCTCTGCTTGCGACTCTTGGGGTCTGTTTTCAAAGCCTAGTTATACTAAATTTTGATTTTTTTTCTACTTATAGCATTGGTATCTACTTTTAAAAATGCGACGCTGGAAAATTTTGAATTTCACTACTCGTCATTTTGTGGGCTATTTTTAAAAGCCGAGCCCTACTTAATTATATATATATATATATATATATATATATATATATACATACATACACACACACACATATATATATATATATATATATATATATATATATATATATATTATAAAGCTATATGTAAATATATATATTCTGGTTCCCTTAGACCAAGGCTTTATGGTCTTCCAAAAGTTCATAAGAAGGACGTTCCATTGAGACCAATACTTTCAATGATTGGTTCATCCCAACATTCTCTGGCTCAATGGCTTTGCAGGTCATACAACCGGTCCAAACATTTTTTGCTAAGCATTGTATACC